TCCCTCCTTTTCTTGTTGGTGGCAGCTGTTTGTTTGCTGTTGATCAGTTAAGTTGGTTGCTAATATGAGTGCAGTTAAGAAAGTAGCATACACAATTCTGTAATGTTCAAGCAACTGTAAGTAAAGAATTTTTAAAATGTTATTTCTCCTACACATATCTCAGAGTAAGTTAATGAGACTTTAAGTGGAAGTTAATGAGAAAGGAGTGGACTCTGAGGAACTTGAAGCTATTCTTCTCTGTGGATCTCTGTAATTCTACTGTGTAGCAAAAAAGGAATTTAACCAGAAATTCAAAACTCTGCAACAATATCTTAAAATGTTTCTCCATTATCAGAATAAAAGTAGAAATAAAAGTGATGTCTCACATTTTGCAAAAAAATACCTACTTTTGTTTATTATCCTAATACACAGAAAATCCAAGATGAGTCGGTAACTGTTAGTATATTCACTTTTGCAAAAAGACTGACTGGTTGTTTTAGGCTCCAGTTGAATTAGAAAAACTCTGGATGGTAAGGCATGATGGGTTTGACTCTCTCTCTGTCTCTCTCTCTCTGTCTCTCTCTCTCTCTGTCTCTCTCTCTCTCTCTGTGTGTGTGTGTGTGTGTGTGTGTGTGTGTGTGTGTTTTGACTTCTGTATCACCCAACAGGCCAGAGGCCACTCTGGCGAATTTACACCAATAAAAAAAGCAAATAACAGTAACACATGAAGGCAATAAATCAAAAGTTAAATTAAAAACAAAATTAATAGTGCAATTAAATACATTAAAAGGTAGTTGGCAGTTAAAACAAGTTAACATAGCAGTTTCCTCAGGTAAAATGAGTTGGAAAGCAGAGTTTTCAATGTTTTCTTGAAAACTGCCAGGAAAGGGGCCAGGAGGATTTCGATAGTAATTGGTTCCAGAGCCAAGAAGCAACCATCAAAAAGGCCCAGTTCCTTGTTCAATCTCTCCTGGGCTCCCTCTGGGTTAGCATTCTGAGTCATCCAGCCTGTGTTATGCACACATAGGATGGACAGTGCTGATTGGAATTACCGTAGGTCCCAAACCATTTAGGGCTTTTTATAGGTTAAAACCAGCGCCTTGAAGCTGATACAGAAACAGGTCAGTAACCACTGTAATTCAGCCACTGTTGGGGAGATACGTTGGTATTTATGAACTCCCATCACTAGCCTGGCTGCCGTAGTCTGGATCTGGGGGAAACGAAGTGTAATTTCCTTTGGAGAAGAAAATATTTTGTAGCAACTAGAAAATATTCTAGCTTAATTTTCTTTGCTGTCTATGACTTTTCATGCATATGCACATGCAAGTGCATGCACACATGCAGACACACAAGGGAGCACCACCAATCAATGTGCTGCTACCTGTTTCCTAAACCTCCATGCCCATTAGTTGTGGTTTTGTTTCACTGCTGTATTATCCTGGGAATAAGATTCATAGCAGAACGTAAAATTAAAGTATATAATCCAGAATCCCTCAGTCACTGAGGAGCCAGAGGTTGGGAGCCTGAATTCCCACTGTGCCTTCCAAGTAGGCATGGTCAAGCTGCACAGTCCCAGGATGGCTCCAGAAGAAGGGGATGGTAAACCATTTCTGAGTATTCTTAACAGAAAAACCCTGAAAAGGGTCACCATAATGTCAGCATTGACATCAGCATGATGATGAGCAAGCACTTCAAAGCCACAGAAAGATAAATATACTGTATGTAGAATTCGTTTTCAGATTCGTAGCTGTTAGTCTGTGCAAGCATGTCAACAAGAAACACAAAACAAAATGAAAGCAAAACAAACAAACAAAAAACCTTGTGGCACCTTAAAGATTAACTGCTATTTTTAAAGTAAATTTTCATAGACCATGCCCTTCCTCAGATATGTCAGAATATTGAGTACCTTTTCATTGACTAAAATCTCATTCCAAAATGACCCCCCCCTTTTGTTTGTTTTTGTTTTGCCAATGATATGTTTCCTGAGGGTAATAGCTAGCTACGCTCTTATCTGAGCTCCAAAAAGCCTAGCACTTAATGGCTGAAAGCCCGTTTGTGCAGCTACGCTGTGGCGATTTTTCAGACATTAAAACATTCAGATGCCTCCTGAAGCTGCCAAGGGTCCTGTGGAACTCCTTTCATTGTGGGGAAGCTGTTGGAAGCTGTGGGATGCCGGGAGAACTTTAATTTTCAATAATGGCTGACGCTTGGATGACTTTATCAGCAGGAACAATTTTCTGAAATTAAAAATGTCCTCCTGTCCTTTGGCCCCCAATGACTTCCCACAATGCAAGGGTTTCAACAGAAACCCCAGGGACAAAGGTCTATGTAGGGATTGATTTTTTTTCTTTTTAAATTTCTGCACAATTGCAGTGACTGATGATACCATGGTAAAACATACAGAACATACAAGAGCCCGAAAAACCCACAACAACCATACAGAACAGGATTTCAGCCTAAATTTCTGGAAAGCATCAGGATCATAAGCTGAAATCCTTTTGCACTGTGTAGTAAATTGCACTACAGTAGGCCCACTGAATCAGTGGGGATTTCACGAGTCAACTTCTCGCTACGTAAGTTCCATTGATTTAAATGGGCCTCCACTACTTGCAACTCACTTTACCATGTTAATTGAAATTGTAAACCGCCCGGAGAGTGCTTGTAGCGCTATGGGGCGGTATATAAGTCCAATAAATAAATAAATAAATAAATAAATAAATAAATAAATAAAGTCACAACTAGAACAGACACATTTGAATCAGAGGTGTTGGCTCACTAAATCCTGACAGACTCAATTGGTCAACTGTGCTGTGACTTATAAGCAACAGGATTTTGCTTATAGAAAAATCCTGAGAATTTTGAAAAATACTTTAGTAAATTCATTCATTTACAAAAATGCCTCTTGAAATAAAAAACGTTTATTACAAAGGTATTGCATATTTTCCATTCACCATAGAAAGACCAAAAATTCCCAGCAGTCTATGTATGAAATCCTGCTCATGAAGCTATAATTTATGCACCATAGCTCATGAAGCTATAATTTATACACCATAAACTATGGAACAGGATTTCAGCCCATTTATTATACAAAAACAATTAAAAAGCAATATAACTGTTCCTTTGTTTTTGTTATGTGCCACTGAGCTACTCCTGGCTTTTGGGGACCTTAATCGGTTTTTGAGGTCTGTGAATATTGAAAGATTAGTTTACCATGCCTGGTCTCCCAGTGAGTTTCTATCACCAATTAGGGATTTGAACCCACATCATCTGAATTGTTGTCCAATATTTTTTCCATTGCAATACACTGACACTCATTCTGATTGTTCCTTTAATGGAAACACATGCAAGTAACTGTATTTTAATGCATCTTTGCATTTTATATACCTGGACATTACAGAGTTATTTGTGTGTATATGTATTATCAGAAAACGGCTATTTTGAGTTCAGGACATTGTCCTCCTCATACAGAACTGCAGCCTTTGAATATGATTCTATACATATTTACTCAGAAATTTGATGGAGCTTTATCACAGGAAAAATGAGTAAATGCAACCTCAATTGTTTGTATTATGGCCACCAAGTGTGTGCCGCTGAAAAAGATTTCAGACTTGATAATAAACAGTACAGTATCACCTTACCGTTTTTATTTGTTTACAGTACACAGCACCTTTATATCCCAATTCTACTGGTTATGATTGCCAAGCACCTCTGTCAACATCCTTGAGGCGCAGCCACTAAAAACCCTCTGAGGGGCAAAATCCACCTTCTGCAAGACCTTCCAAAATGTCTCAAAATGAGAATCCAGTCCAAAGTACATTGCGACTCAGAGAAGCCCCACAGTTTAACAGCAGTTGAGCTGCCCTTATCCGAGAACTACAAGTCCAGTAACTTTGTCCTTGCAGAATGAACTTATTTATCGAGATAGTACAAAAGCAAATTACGAAAATAGTGATGAATGTGGTTATTGCCAATTCCAGCCTGAGGAACTAAATTTAGAACCGAACCTCCCAACCACCAACCATGAAATACACCAGATGAATATTTTAAACTTTATTTAAAGAAAAAGTCAAGCTAAATCCAAAAAGAGAAAAAATATTTTCAAATCAATAAGCCAATTCATGTAAAAGACAACCACCTACCGGTAAATAAGAAAATAAGAAACCTAAATATTAAGCTCAATAAGCTAACTTAAATATTAGTTATGTCTTAAATATTAATGACCTAATTACCAACGTTTCTTCAGCTAGTTCAGAGTGCTAATCTTACCAGCAGCATGTCCTGATAAATCTCCAAATAACATGCCCCCCCGAATTGAAAAATTAGATTTTGTACCCTGTAGTACATATGCTCAAATGACTCTCTTTTAGCCAAATTAAATGTTTTGCTGATACTTCCAGAAAACGTGCTTTCTTACATGTATGTATAATCAAGATGCAGCTGGGCTAATTTAGAACTCCCATTTTGAAATGAAACCCCAGGCTTGAGTTTCTTCTTATTTCTGACCAGTCCAGATGGTACACTATTACCTTTCCCAGCCTTTCAATCCAACTCTCCCACCAGCTTTCTGATGCCAGTATGGAACCTGCCTCATGATTTTTGAACTTACTCCATTCTTTTGGACTAATTACTCTTTTGGTGTTATTTAGGGCTTTTCTCTAGATTCTTTCACTATTATTTTAAACCAAATAAACATAAATATATTCTTTCATCTTTACCTTTCTGTAAATTTCATTACATTCCAAACATTAAAAAGCTGACATGTTAATTTACATTTAATCCAAGCTTCTGACTTTTTGTCTTGAGATACAGTCTCCTGAAGTCAACTTCCAAATGTGTGTGCTAAATCTCGATGAGCTAACAGATCAGTAAGTTAACAACCCCCAATGAAGATAACTACTGTACAGTAGTACAGTACAGTGTTTTCCAGACTTCTGCTCCTAGGGCTTCCACGTGAACTCCCTTTCTTCTTTACCATTGGGCAGACTCCTAGCCAATCAGAGGCGTCACTATTCTATGCCCATCCCCGTAACGTTCGTTTCTCACATTCTTTACTACTGATCGTCCTACAGTGGTTGTTTCTCTTTAAACCGGAGTCCTTTCGGCCTGGTGGAAACGGGGTTTTTCCTTGATTTCCTGTCCCCGAGGTTCAGAGATTCGCTTTGAGAAATGCCCCTACGGGTTGGTTATCGGAGCCAGGCGCGAGCAGCGGACCGACTCCTAGTAGGGCTTCAGAGCCAGCAGGCCTTGTCTCCATGGCAACTGCAGCAAGCCGGCGGCGCTGGCGGCGGCGGCGGCGGGAAAGCGCTCGTGCTCCGCCGGTGGCAGCACGCGGGGAAAGGGGACGGGGAGCCCAGCTTTCTGGGCATGGTCGAGATATTCTGCGAGCGGGCGGCGCGCGTGGTGGAGAAAGAGCTGGTGGCGCGGCTGCGCACGCCCAAGGACGAGAACGAGCGGCAGCAGCGGGTCCGCGGGATCCTCGACACCATCCGGAGCTGCGGCCACGTCCTGGAAGTGGCCTTCCCCATTCGAAGGGATAGCGGCAGCTGGGAAGTGATCAAGGGCTGCCGGGCTCAGCACAGTCAGCACCGCTTGCCTTGCAAAGGGGGTGAGCCTGAGGGGAAGGCATGCCACCCTTCTTCCCTTTGTGGCAGGGGGCTTGAAAGCAAACGTGCAAGAAGTCAACCTGGCAGCACTTTAAAGTTAGACAGATCTAGGCTGCGATCCTAAACGCCTTTGCTACTCACACAATAAGTGCTTTTAAAGATAATAGGGTGCACAGGCATAGGACTGTGCAGTTTCTGAGGTACACGTTTTCATGAACTAATATCTACCTCCTGAGAAACGGAAAACGTCTTCATTTGTCTGCTTCGTGTAATGCAGGATTTATGTCCACAGAAGTCATAGCTTTCCTTTAAGGTGCTACAAAACTGTATGTGTACATTTCCCTTAACAGAATACTAGAGGTACCCCTCTGTTAAGTGCCCTCACGTTGCCTTTTGCTTATGGTGACCCTGTGAATGAGTGACCTCCAAAATGTCCTGTCTTCAACAGCACTGCTCAGCTGTTGTAAACTCAAGCCTATTGCTTTCTTTAGGGAGTCGATCTATCTTGTATTTGGTCTTCCTCTTTTTCTGCTGCCTTCAATCTTTCCCTGCATTATTATTTTTTCCAGATAATTTTATCTTCTCATGATATGTCCAAAGTAGGAAAGCCTCAGTTTCATAATTTCTGCTTCCAGAGATAGTTCAGACTCGATTTCCTTCTGGATTGCCAGAAAGATCAGTTTGTCTTTCTGGCAGTCCAGGGTATTTGCAGAACTCTCCTCCAGCCGCCTAGAGTGGTCGAAATGACTAGATAGGCGGGGTATAAATACAATAAATAAATAAAATAAAAATATTTCAAAGAATAAATCCCTACCCAGCCAACTTTCTTAACTGTCCAGTTTTCACACCTTTACACAGTGATCAGAAATATAAGAGTGTAGATGATCTTGATCTTGGTCCAGTAACACATCCTTACATGTGATTATCTTTTAAAATTTCCTTTATTGCTGCCCTTCCGAGTCTTAGTCTTTTTCTGATTTCATGGCTGCTCTCCATTTGGATTGATGATTGAACCAAAGGATACGAGGGGGTGCTGATAAGTATTGAGCCTTACCCAGAAAAAATGAGTACAAAACCTCCAACTATTTCAGTTTTTTCAGTGTTGACATGAAAGTTGTGTACTTCTCCTGTAGTCACAATTTTTGTCATCTTAATGTTTCTTCTTTCACTTTTACTAAAAGCCATATCAAGTCATTTTGGCTTTGTGCCAGTAAGATACTTTCATTTGCATATCTTAAATTATTGAAGTTTCTTCCACCATTTTTCACTCCTCCTCCATCTGAATCTAGTCTTGCTTTCCATATGATATGTTCTGTGTACAGGCTGAACAGATAAGGAGATAAAATGCTCCATGTCTGAAACATTTGCCTATAGGAAACCATTCTGCCTCTTCTTTTCTGTTCTAGTTGTAGCTTCTTGTGCACAATACAGGTTACACATCAGGACAATCAAGTACTGAGTCATACCCATTTCTTTCTGAACAGCCCATTAAAATCTTTGACTATGTGGATCACAAGAAACTATAGATTGTTTGGAAAGAAATATTTGAAGTGAATTTTAATACTTGAAAGCTTACATTGAAACAAATCCGTTAGTCTTTAAAGTTCCACATTATGTTGCCCTTGGTTGTTTTTCTTCGTTGTTTCCCATTAATGTTGGCAACATGCTGAGATACAGTAACACAACTACTTGTCTGTAGCCTTTTTCATACAATATGCTTCTCCATGTTTCTCAGTCTTCTGAGTTACTGGATTTATCATCTTAAAGGACTTAAGGAAAAATTGGTTTGAAAAGTGCCCCTGCTGAACTTCCATTTGTTTTATTGTAATTTTAACCGGTGTAAGATTCCCTAATGTCCTGTTGAAAGCCCTAAAATTATAAACTCTATTCAGTAAGTTTTATTTTCTATTCTGGCATGTTAAAATTCTAGCAAATGGAAGGAGCTTTCTCAGATTGAATCCTGTTCTAGAAAACTAATTTTTGCAGAGAACTGAGAGAGAGAATAAAACCTACTTCTCTTGAATATTTGATTAAACTGGTACCTTCTTCTTCTGATACCATTTAATCTATGCTAGTTTTATTTCCACTGTTAATTTCCTACTTTAAATTTTTTATTTTATATCTAAGGATACAAACTGCTTCAGATTGCTGGCAAGGCACTAAGTATGTTCCAGGTGACTTTGGTTGGTTGCTTTCCAGCTCAGGGAATTGGCTTCCTGATTCCTTGACTGCAAAATGGAAATAAGAACAGAAGCAAAAGTACTGTAGAGCTCCCTTGGCATGTGGTACACACCCTGTTTCTTTTCTTACTTGGTTAATGCTACCATCTATCTTAGTATACAGGCATTGCTATCTATTAGACTGTCATTTCTAGCCTTCTGTTGAGGATTCCAACCCAATCAGAAAGTAGTAGGTTATTTTAGAAAGGAGTTGATAGAAGCTGAAATCTTTGAAAATTAGATGTTAGAAATGAAAGCATTGGGAAACAATGGATCTCTCGCACTCTGATATACAATGGCAAATAGAAATTTATGCTGTACTATCTTGCTTATTGATTTTAGCTCCAGATAATTAAAATATAAGCAGTAGTACTACAGACTGTCTTTTAAATGGCTACTTTATAAATTATGTGTGGGTATATTTTTGCCAGCAAAAAAGTAAGGGGGGGGGAAGAGTAGGAAGGAATGTGCCTACCAGTACATATTGACTACCCCATCTCATCTATCTCTAGGTAACTCAGAACAAGTTATAATTATAATGGCTTGTATATCTGTATATTGATGGGAGTTTATCTTCAAAAAGTGATTATACCAACACAACAATCTCCACTTAAAGGTAGAGCTTTAGAGGTCACCAGAATTTGTAAACCACATGTGTTTTTATATGAACTGTTCATAGCCCTTAGAATTGGAATGGCTAGGGAGGAATATAAATAAATATAAATACATTGATAATGTTTGTATGGCTCATATATTGACTGCCTACTTGTTTGTTTATTTCTGTGCTTTCTCCCAGGGATTCGTTATAGCCAGTCAGTTAGTGTTGATGAAGTAAAAGCCTTAGCAGCCTTGATGACATACAAATGTGCAGTGGTGGGTAAGTTAGTAGTTAACACTGTGTGGGTGAAATACCAGGATGTGCTCTTCACAGTAAGATGAAGTATCCTAGTAAAGAGAGCTATAGAAATGTTTGGACATACTTCAGAAACACACAATGCCAATGTTTCTCAAACAGTTTGAAATGGGATTCACTTGTAAACTTAGTCCCTGACTACACAGCACTTGTTTTTCTGTTTGGTCTGCTCTGCTTTTTTTTTTTTAAGGTACGGGTAAGATCATTCCATTTTGATTCAATTTCTGCATGTGTGATTGCTTAAATTCAACCAAAACGATTGGATAGCTGCCCCTTCTCTCCCCTCCTTGCCCTGCCCTCCATAGGAGAGCCGAAGTTTCCAATTAAATGGCTTCTCCAAAGGGACAGTCTTTAGAATCTTGAGAATTTTTTTCTTTTAGGGAAAAAATATAGGGTGTATATATATAAGATGTGTCGTCAAGTGGGGCACCACTGCATGTTTAAACTTAAATTTAAATCAGGCACTTTCTACATAACAATGTGTACAAACCCAAAATAAATATACCCTCAGAATTGGGTTGCTTTATTACCTGTGTGCCTGTGGGGTTCATGGAGCGTTATTTTGAATGCCTTTCTTTTGAAGTCTCCAGCAAAAATAAAACTGAAAGCAAAAGTGCCCGGCCTCTTAAGGAGCCAGGTTGTTTGGTTGAAATTGGGAGCAGGGAATGTCCATATTCTCCAGCATGGGACTATTCTACATTCTCCTGCAGAACTATATATCTGTGTGCTGCTTGAACTCTCTTCTCGTGAGAAGAGGGCTGTTTTTCCTTTTGCAATGGGAAGGGGGAGGGGAGGACTGCATGATCAGAGAGAGAGAGAGAGAGAGAGAGAGAGAGAGAGAGAGAGAGAGAGAGAGAGGCTGAGGGGAAGGATGGAGGGAGCTGTGGCTCATCAAGCAGCATTTTTCCACTCATCACAGACAAGTGGGAAAGTAGATTTTTCAAGCCCTGCTGATAGATAATGCGCACGAGAAGAAACCTGTTTCTTAAAAAAGCTGCATAATCATGTCTTGTTGCTGTTGGCTCAGTTACAGGAAAAAGCCCCTGGAAATGGCAAGACTCTTATTGTATGACCCATCGAGAAATATGTTCAATCCCACAGTTGGGAACAAAATGCACAATAGAATTATCTGTAGTGGTGTATCTTTACTATACAGAAATGGGAATGTTGAGAACAGGACAGATTGAAAATGGGTGAATGGCTGGAATATGAGAAACATCTTTTCTGAAACGTTGTCTTTTCACTTATTTTCACCAATTCTATATTACCTGTTTTATTAAAATTGGTAGCAAGAAATGAGCTATTGAATATGCTGCTGGATTGCATCCTCCATCCCTCATTATTGGGGGCACTTCTTGAGGCTAAGTGGAGTTGTGGTATGACATCCTTTGGAGGGGGTTATCTCTGCTGTAGTACATAGGAAGCAGCTTTATCTCAGGTCAGCATGCTGGGTCATCTGGCTCAGTATTGTCAGCTCCACTGACAAGGTTTCAAATAAAGGTCTCACATATCACTAAATAGTTCATTTATGTTTTAAATGAAGATGTCAAAGACTGAACCTGGGGCTGTCTGTATACAAGTGGGGCTGTACCACAAAGCTGTGCTCTTCAATAACAACTCCTTGCTTCTTTAGCTGGAGATATTGCAGAAAGATTATTAAAGACTTTATTTATTAAACATGGGTAGCATTCTTTTTAGAAGAGCAGACAAGCAGGATAGTACTTTTTCTGTACTGGCACAGAGATGGAAGTGAATTTAATGGAGCTGGTCACATACTGAATAAACAGAAAAAGAATTAATTAAATAAACATGCCCTTGAAGAAGGTTGATAGGTTGAACACATTGGGCATTTTATACTCGAATAAATAGCATTATATTTTCTACATCTTGGAACTTCAGTGTTCTCCTTTTTTGACCTAATACTGAGACTGGAAGTGCCATCCCTGAAATACATCTGCCTGTGTGTTGCACTGTTGGTTGTGTTAGGAACACGTGATCAATTGTGCAATGGCATAGTATAACGTCTTGTTGCTGGGCGTAATGCCTGGCACATTGATACCAGCATAGACATGAAAAGCATACTAGCCATGGAGTCATAAGCAACAGTTATTCTTTAATGTTGGGAGAGGCCGTGCCTGTTGTACAAAAAACTCTCCAAGCAGATTTGAAAGTGAGAGAATATGTTTGACTTTGCATGTAGAAATTAGAAATTATGTGTATATATGAAATCCAGTGAAATAAGTAAGATTATTGACAATGTCTAAATGAGAGGCTTAAAAGTCTCTATATCTGTAGTTGTGAAAAGCTGTTGATAGACCAGTTACTTTCTTGTGTGCAGGATGTTACAGGGACCATAAATGTAAGTGTTGTTATTTTGTGACACAATTAGCAGATTTTAGGATTTATACTGGACTGCTGATCTGTGGATTAAGGATAAATTTGTGGAGAAGAAATAATTGTGTTCTCTGGCAGATTTTGCTGTGTTCTACCTCTGTGGTATTTAAAAATGCATACTGCTTCAGATGGCAGCTATTTATATCATATATGAATAGAGGACATAACTATTCCTTGTGAGGCTGCGTCAGCTTTGAAAAATCCTCAACACGAAGTTCTAACAAAATATCTGATATCTGAATATCTTACTTTTTGTTGCTAGATGCAAATGCATTTTTAATGGTAAATAATTTGTTCTAAATACATTTGAGGTGTTGGGTTTTCCCCTAAGTAGAACCTTTTGTAAGCACGTAGCTTTAAATTCTGAATCAATGAATTCACAATTCTGAATGCGGTTATTCTCACAACGCTTTTACATGGCTATATTTGGGGGGGAAACCTGTCTTGTCTGTCTGATTTCTTTCAGATGTTCCTTTTGGTGGGGCCAAGGCTGGTGTGGCTATTGATCCAAGGAAGTATTCAGTAAGTGCATGCTGTTTCCTTTTCACTTTGTGGGGAATACTTCAGAAGTTTGATAAATAGCTGTGTTTCATGTGGAGATTTCTTGAGAATGACCTGTGCCCTACAGAAGAACTCTTGTGATATACAGTACTCCAGTTGCCATTGAGAGTCACATTTGTATTGAGACCTTTGTGTGAGAGTGTGAAAAAAGGGTTCCACACATATAAACCCAACTTCCCACTCAGGATGATCACTTGCCAACCAGTACAGCCTTATATTTGCTGTAGCTATGTTTCTCTTGCTTCTTCCCTCTCTCTGTGAAGATTTCATCTCAAATGGTACAATGTTGTTGTTTAGTCGTTAAGTCGTGTCCGACTCTTCTGACCCCAGGGACCAGAGCATGCCTTCCACTGCCTCCTGGATTTTGGTCAAATTCATGTTGGTAGCTTCGGTGACACTGTCCAGTCATCTCGTCCTCTGTGGTCTCCTTCTCCTCTTGCCTTCACACTTTCCCAACATCAGGGTCTTTTCCAGGGAGTCTTCTCTTCTCACCACAATTCAAGAACATCAATTCTTCGGCAGTCAGCCTTCTTTATGGTCCAGCTCTCACTTCCATACATCGCTACTGGAAAAGCCCTAGCTTGGATGATGCAAACCTTTGTCGGCAAGGTGATGTCTGCTTTTTAAGATGCTGTCTAGGTTTGTCATCACTTTCCTCCCAAGAAGCAGGCGTCTTTTAATTTCATGGCTGCTCTCACCATCTGCAGTGATCGTGGAGCCCAAGAAAGTAAAATCTGTCACTGACAAGGTAGCAATTCAATTGAGCAGAATGTCCCACTATTTTAAGTCATGTGGGCCTGCACAATTGTACAAATGTTGTGTCACAAGGAATGATTTCCAGGAAGAAAGGCCACACTGTACTTCCCAACACCAACAGTTGCACGAATTGTGTAATCCTATGTTACAATGCCAGCAGGACTTTCTAGTTAATCAGATATTCAGTTTGACACTGATCACTGGGTTTAGTACGTACATTTCAACAAGACATTGCCAAGTGTGAAATGCTGCACTACAAAGAAATTGTGCCCAAGAAACAAACACTCTCTCCGTGAAAGGGGTGCTCTAATTACTCAGGCATAATTTAGTATTGTACCATTCATGGATTGCTGTCTTGTTGTGGCGAAGGGGCTTGAGTAATTCAGAGAAGCTATGGGCTATGCCGTGCAAGGACACCCAAGATGGACAGGTCATAGTGGAGAGTTCTCACTAAACGCGATCTACCCGGAGCAGGAACTGGCAAGCCACTCCAGTATCTTTGCCAAGAAAAACTCCATGAACAGAAACAAAAGGCTAAAAGATATGATGCTGGAAGATTAGCCCCTCAGGTCAGAAGGCGTCCAACATGCTACTGAGGAAGAGTGGAGGAGAAGGACAAGTAGCTCCAGAGCTAATGAAGTGGTTGGGCCAAAGCCGAAAGGACGCTCAGCTGCAGACGCATCTGGAAGTGAAAGGAAAGTCTGATGTTGCAAAGAAAAATACTGCATAGGAACCTAGAATGTGAGATCTATGAACCTTGGTAAGCTGGATGTGGTCAAACAGGAGATGGCAAGAATAAACATTGAAATCCTGAGCATCAGTGAACTAAAATGGACAGGAATGGGCGAATTCAATTCAAATGATAACCATATGTACTATTGTGGGCAAGAATCCCATAGAAGAAATGGAGTAACCCTCATAGTCAACAAAAGAGTGGGAAAAGCTGTACTGGGATACAATCTCAAAAATGATAGAATGATTTCAATACGAA